CGCAGTGGCGGCGGCGGCGGCGGCGGCGGGGGGAGGGGATCAAAAGAAAACAGAGGCCAATCTAGAAACACACATATGACCGGATCAGAGGGATCCGAAACGGTTTATCGATGAACAACGAAGTGGAAGAAGCAAGATAGGACATAGTTAGTGCATACATTAAGCAATACTGACGAAAGCAAATTGAACCGGTCACCATAGTCTTCAATTTCGAAATTCAATCAATCGAATCACCCTAGAAGCAAGCCTCACTGCATAGTGGTTCGGCTAGGGCAACCAATAACAAAATCATTCTCATTGCTGGCTCCTAAGAACAAATAAAAAAAACTCGTCAATTTTCTCTTATTACACACCTAAGTGTGTTGAACAGACGAGGCGGACCCCAGAGTCACGAGGACTTGCTGTTCAGTGATAGTAACCGGCAACATAAGCCCCGGGACCCGCATACGGCGAACCGCATAAGGCCCTGATAGCTTAGGTGTGGTATTGAACCGGACGACAGCAGAGCTGCCTACCACCAAAATCTGAATGTTAAGAACTTGTTCTGACAACCATCGTCGGTCAGTCGACTGTCCGTGTTATGCTTTCGTTCATTGATCGACTACATTACTGTTCTACGTGTGTAGACACAATACGCTTGCGTATTCACTACACATGCGTGGATGCTCCGCGAACTAAGACGATACCACACCACCTCTTGGAGTTGTGAGTTTCCACTAAAAAGAGTGAAAGAAGTCGTTTTGGAGAATTATTTGTGTGAAATAGACGCTGTCCGATATTTGGTCGAATGATGAAGTTGTTGTTGTGCAGCAAATGCGTCGTACACGTTGGAGTGCATAACTTATGGGTCCCGGAGTAAACTGATTAAGGGATTCATTTTAGATCTTTTAAATCACTGGCCACATAAACGGGTACTTATCCGATCTCGTTCGTGAACACTGAAGCCAGCTTCTTCATACCTCTACACCATGTCCTGGTCTGTCCGCCGCGGAGCTTATTCTAGTCTTGTCCAGCACGTGCAAAGAGAGTACGGAAAGGTAATGAGCAGGCATACGCAATACGTGAACAAGCCATCGAAGGCGGTGTAGCGAGAGGGAGTGACTATTTACACCCAACACATGACGGCGGACCTCGTCATCGCTCACCCGATGTTTACACCAGACATGAGCAATGCTTCGGAGACTTCGATGGTCGAATACAGAAAGTCGATCTTCAACGCAGAGGGGCCAAGTCTCGCAACCATAAAGTAGAACACTACGAACCGCGACGATTTACATTTTTCCTTCAAGAGACAAACTGATGTCATGGCGCGGCCACAGGTTGGGCAGGTTGGCAAAAGTTGCTCTAGATTTCACTAATCCTGATGTGATGTCCTTCCCCAACAGTAACATCAGCTGTGATTAAGCTCCTGAGATAATTAAAGTTCTCGACTACTCCTATATGATCATCACAGGGATTGAGTGAGTGAGTGCAGGCACTTTTCATTTGGACGACACAAAGTACCTACCATATGATCAATCAAAATCTACGAGGACACTACACCAAACCGAGGGGAACGGGGGAACGGAGGAGGAGAATAAGGACTATTAGTGAGATCCCAGTTCTCTCTGATTCAGTGTGATAGTGATTTTGTACCACTTGATAACCGAAATACTAGAACAAATAGCATGTGTACACCCGGATGTGGATAGGGTTCGAAACCGCGATTCGAGCGCCAAGACCGATTTTGAAGCAACACAGACGACTGCGTGTGGAAGCAAAGTGTGACGATAGTTACCGGAAAATTTAAGCAATCGTGTTTTTTTTTTAACAATCATCCGATCACAACACGAGAGCGACTAAATGCTTCCTGCATGTGGTTTTTAAATCAAGACAATTGTATTCGGAAAACAAAACGTGGAAAGTATGTGATTCCGCGCGAAACAGATTTTTTTTTAGCTCGCCGACGAGCACTGTGGTCATGTGTATAATAACGTAAGCAAATAATGCAACCAATGACGTAAGCAGTGTTGCGCGAGGAACGCGGAGTAACCTGAGGAGGATTTATCGTATCCAGTGAGTCCGACAAAAGAGCGATCATTTTTCTCCAAAATAGATAAACCAACATTTTAGTTTGGAAGCGCATCTGCTTTGCAGATGAGACGGCGATCAGGTACATTGAACACAGACTTACTAAACTGGTCAATCTCAGTTGCCCAGCCAGATCGACACGTTCACCCAGACTGGTGTAGAGTAATCCGCCGGAGACAGACCATAATGCCCAACCGCAATGATGCCAGGCGACAGCGAGTGCATAACCGTCCGAGGACCAGGCCAAATGCGAGGCCGGACCGACCAGGGTGGCCGCATCTTTAGAAACGAAGCAGAGATCGAAAATGGGGTTAGGGGACATAAAATCGTATTTCGCGTTGCGAAATAGTATTCGAAACTCACTGACTGCTAGTGTTCTCAGGATTATCAACCTAGCAATGAAAGACTGAGTGATAGTTTCCTTATCGTATCATACTGAAAAGTATTGGGGATAGCGTACAGCTGTAGTATCTTTGTTAAAAATCATCAGTTGTGCATACGCACTGCGAGTTTGTGACGGTTTGACTTCGGACGCCTAGGATTGAATGGTGGTACACACTATCGTCAGAGTTAGCCAGCCGAGTCAAACGGTTGGGGGTGACAGTACACACTGTTCTCAAAAAGTGGATCCTAAATGCAGTCTCTCTCAACAGAGCTACTATATTTGTCCTCATGCTAAACAGGACACCTTATAAATGATGATAAATAATACAAAAAA